TTATTATTTGCTTTACATGTTAACAGATATGTTCATATTTTCTTTCTTACACTTCTCTTTTTCTGTTGACTTTCTTTTCCTGCTTGTTTTGAGTTACATTACATTTTTGCCAGTGGCTAAAAAATTCCTGGGAATAAATCAAGAAGGAATGAAGCACATGAAAGCCCCATTCATAAAAATGAACATTTAATATAAACATTTAATATATTTTTGTACTTTATACAAGTCAGTTCAAATATAATATGTCATTAATCATTGCTAACTAAAATAGAGATCACATTATTAGATATAAGACATTCAGTATTGAGTTAAGAAGTAAAACGTAGCAGATCATTATTAACTACAGTGGTGGTAAAAGAAATGTCAAGTGTTTCCAAGGTAAAAAAAAAAAAAAAATGAAAAGAAAAGTCCTCACCTCAAGGCACGGGAGGAGAGAATAACACCAGCACTATGGGATGATGTTCTATGACCTTCTTAGATAATGACCATCTCAGAGGAAGAGTGTGTGTCTGTCATGATGCCTACAGCAAACAGAAGGACAAAGCTTGGAGCGTGCCTGTCATCCTAGCACTCAGGAGAGTGAGGCAGGCAGAATGTAAGTTCAAACACAAGAAAAAAAGATAAAGAGTGAAAAGAAGTTTAGCAGAAGGCACAGACTGAACTGGTCTATAGAATAAATGCAGAACTTTCTGGGATAGCTGGCTTGTCAACAGTCCATGGAGGCTGCTCAGGGCACAGGTGGCACCTAGAACATGTCCTGCCCTGGGACCTGCGAGTGAGGAGAAGGTCATGGGAGAGGTTACTGAAATCTAGGCAAAAAAAAAATGTTAAAAGGTACATTATATTAAAAATTCTCTGTCTCTATCACACACACACACACACACACACACACACACACACACACACCATACAATAGGAAATACAGAGCTAAATCTTGGGAAGGAATATGTTGTTGCTTAATAGTGTAACTCTGAGACTTTGCTATGTTAAAACTTTCCAGAATGTCATGTAGCAGAGAGAATTCAGAGAAAGAGTGTTCCAGCTATCATTTCACATAACATGAGAGACAAGCGTGGGTAATGATTGCAAAACTTAATAAATGCTATCACTAGCATCACTACTGAGAACTTTTCCTAATCAACTTAGGTCTATAAAACGTGAATTTATTCTATTTATCTCTTTGATATGCTCTAATGTCTGGCATTTTACTCAGACTATGTACTTATTTTTTTATTATTAAAACTTTAAATACAAATGGGCATCGAGCTCTCAGTCTCACATTATTTCCTTGCTTTATGTTTTATTTACGATTTAATTAAATGTATTTATTGATTTTATGTATTTGTGTAACTTGCAGGAGTTGGGTCTCTCCTTCCTCTGTGTGCACCTTAGGAACAGAACTCAGGTTATGACACTGGATGGCCTTTACCCATTTTGCAATGTTGTCAGCCCTGTCTTATTTTATGTAAAAATAATGTTTTAAGAAAGTGTCTCAGTCTCTTTTGTTTGTTGCTGTTATAAGATACTCTGACAAAGCAACTGAAGAGAAAAACACTTATTTTGGGCTCCCAGTTCCAGATACAGTCTATGAGGATGGGAGAGTCAGAGACAGGAGCTATCCACATTGTATCCAATGTTAGGAAGCAAAGTTGACATTTAACAATAACCATCAAGGTAATGAGATAGGGTTTCAGTAGCAATTTGTTTGTGTTCCATCATCTTATTTCAGAAGTTTACCTGTGCTAGATATCCTCTCTTGGAATACATAACTATATTTTAAAATGCAGGAAGAACAATAGTAAACATATTTGTTTGTTTGTTTGTTTGTTTTTTAAGTCTTGGCTCTTTCTTATCTATGTATTTTATTTATTACATTTTATTCAGTTTGTAACCCCCTCCCCCATTTCTTCCTAGTCCCACCCCCTCCTTCTTCTTCCCCTATGCCCTTTCCCTAATTCCCTAATAGACAGGACCTCTTCCACTTCTATCTGACCCTAGCCTATCAGGTCTAATCAAGGCTGGCTGCATCATCATCTGTAGCCTGGCAAGGCTGCACCCCCCAGGGGGAGGTGATCAAAGAGCTGGCCATTGAGTTTATGTCAGAGACAGCCCCTTCCCCCCTTACTAGGGAACCCACTTGGAAACTGAGCAACCTACGGGCTTCCTCTGAGCAGGAGGCCTAGGTCCTCTCTATGCATGGTCCTTGGTTGGAGTATTGGTCTCTGCAAGCCCCATGGGCCCAAGTTTTTTTGGTTCTGTTGTTCTCCTTGTGGAGTTCCTGTGCCCTCCAGGTCTTTCTATCTCCCTCTTCTTCCATAAGGATTCTGGCACTCTGTCTAAAGTTTGACTATGAGTCTCAGTATCTCCTTCGATACCCTGGTGGGTAGAATCTTCCAGAGGTCCCTTGTGGAAGGCTCCTCTCCTGTTCCTTGTCTTCTACTTCTGAAATCTACCCTGTCTGCCCTACTGAGTGAGGCTTCAGCCTCTTCCCTAGGGTCTTCCTTGTTGTTTAGCTTCTTTAGGACTATAGAATTTTAGTATGTTTATCCTATATTATATGACTAATATCCACTTATAAGTGAATATATACTGTGTGTGTCTTTCTGCTTGCTGAGGGTCATACTTATACAAAAAGAATAAAGATCATTAAGGATAGAAATACTTTCAACGTGCCAAATCTGTACCAACTATGACCATTTTTACCATGTATTTTGCATTTCTTCCTCTTTTAAATTATTTTAAAACTTAGTTTTTGTGTATGATGTATTTTTATCACATTCCACCTACCCCAAATTCTCTAAGATCCTACCTCATCTATTGACTTTATGATCTCTCTCTCTTAACTCTAAAATTAAAATCAAGAGAAAAAAAGAGTAATAAGACAATAAAACAAAACAACACACACACACACACACACAGCAAAACCCAAAGTACATTTTGTGTTGGCAATACTCTTGGACATAGGATCTGTCTTGGAGCGTGCTTGGTACACCCCGTTTCCTCCACTGGAGAAAATTGATTTCCCTTTCCCAGCAGGTTTAGTTGCAAATAGGTTCTTATTAGGTGTGAGAACCTGTGTCGAATCCCCTTTCAGTGCAGGGACTGAGAAAACAGACTTTCAGCCAGCACTAATCAGAAGAGGAGTATTACATCCCCTTTCAGGAAAAAAAAAATCCACAAATAAGACATTACAATTCCAAACATCCTTGCGCCCAACACAAAGACACCAACTGCATAGATGATCGACTTAGTATTTTTGTTTTTAATCTAGAATTTAGAGTATAAATCATACTAGACAAATGACCCACAGTTTTCCCAAGTTGCCCAAATTTGCCCTATTTGTATTTAAAAACCTAAAAAATTACTTATTTATGTTTATGTAGTTTGTGTTTATTCATGTTGGCTGATCTGTACACACACCAGGTGCATCCCTGGCGTCCCAGGAGGTCAGGTGAATGTGTTTGAACTCTGAGAACTCCAGTTAGAGATGGTTGCCATCTGCCATGTGGGTGCTGGGAACTGAACCTGGGTCCTCTGCAAAAACAGTGAATGCCCTCAAATGTGGAGCCTTTCTCCAACTCCTGCAGTTAAAAGCTTGATGCATTTCTGCATATGAAGACAACCTGTTCTATTCCAAATAAAAGAAAAAAAATGTTGCTAAATTATAATTTATGTGTTGAGACTACATTTTATTTATTAGGAATCAAGAAAAAATTTAAATACTGTGTTTTATTTAATAACCACCTCAGGTAATTGCGTAACAACACAGGGATTGAAAATGCCTTTCCAGATTACTTTAAGATAATTGCAACTCAATTTATTTCTCTTTAATTGGGAACAGGTCTTAAAGAACTCACCAAATGCACTGGCTAAGTTTGTTTTTATTTATTGAAATTTAGTTAATAAACACATATAATAACATTTCAGAGCATATTTGTTCCAGAATTATGGTGATTCTAATTTTTAAGGTGTATAAACAACTTTTTTTGCTTTCTTGTATACTTTGTATTGGTCAGATTTCCAACAGAAAAATAATTTACTAGCATGAGTATGCCATGCTCTAATGTAATTGGAGATCCAGTTATTTAAGAAAATGATGGTCTTTTGCCAAAATTAATTCTGGCAAGCAAGATTGGAATGATATATTAAATTCCAAGCCATATAAACGGCACCTCAAAATAAGAAACTGATGATTCAAGGTTGGCAATGTCCCCTTTGGTTAATTTAAGAACAAGTTAAAAGCTGGACATAATAATTTTGGAGAGCTAAGAATTCCTTCTTCCAAAATGTTCCCAGAGCTTCAAGATGAAACAGGAATATCAAAACGATTGTGGAGAATTACAGTCAAGGTAGTTTATTTAGAGAGGTGTGCTTGGCATTCACCAACAAACATTTTGCTTGGCTCCTTATTTATCTTTTAAAATGATATGTTTACTTATTTATACTTGTTAATCTTCATTAAGAACATAGAATAATTTTTAAAGGTAACCATGATCTTTCCAAATTTGTGAGAAGTTTAAATCAATTAATTGCTTCTCATCTCTACCATTTCACTCTTTTTCTTATAACATGAACTTTTCTGGTTATCAATCATAACTTTTAAAAGACAGCAGTATTGTTCATGAAGAAGGTCTCACAGGTTCAAACCAGTAGTATCAGCCTTATTTCTCAAGTTAGTAACTTGAGAAAATAGAAAAAGGTGAATGAGTAAGTCAGTAGAAAATATATGTGCTGAAAAAGTTTTTGATAAAGAAGCACATTGGGGAAAAGTGCAAAGTGCATAGGTGAGAAATTTCTCCCTCATTCCTGCTCTCTCTCTCTCTCTCTCTCTCTCTCTGTGTGTGTGTGTGTGTGTGTTTGATGTATATCTATAATTTGCTTGAAACTATCTAGGGCAACAATATATGCAATGAAAATACGAAATGAGACTAATTGTCTATGGCAAGGAAAAGTTTTTGGAATATGATTTAACCTAAGAAAATCCCCCCCCTTTTTTTTAGAATGTTAATGATGAGCCTCCTGTATGCACACCACCACATTTAGAAACTCAGATTTATGCCAACTTTAGGGGTCCTTTCATTCGCCTCAATTGTGTAGACAAGGATTCTCCACAGGATCAGCTAAGCTATTCAGTCACAGAAGGTAAAGCATATAAATTCACATTGGCCTCTTCCATGCTGTTTTATAAGATGCTCATGTCAGACATTTTGTAGCTGGTGGGAACATATCATAAAATATATCTTCAATAAAAACTTAAACAAGGAAATGAAAATAACCATTCACAATACAGTTTCCATTGTTTTATTACCTCATCATTCTTAGGAAATACAAACAATCAGTTCACACTTTGGAGAGAAGGTGCTGAGTTGCCATTTCTGGCCACCGCGCAGGATTTCCAGTATGATCTGTTTCAAGGAACGAAAGATGTAGTGACTTTCCAGTTACTGATTGAAGTCACTGATGAATTGGGTGGGAATGAAGCTAGTCAGCTGACAGCCACTATGACAGTCATAATTCATGTGCTTCCCTGGACCACAACACAGCCAACGTCTTCCACAAAAACAGCTACAACAACTGTAAGTAAAATGATGACCTGTGATTCTGAAGTAGGTTGAATTAGTCTCCTACGATGTTCTTGAGAACTCTCATAGGAGTTTTTCTATTGTTTTGGGATTGAAAGACATTCAATGAAACAATTACTTTAATATAGTTGAATTCTCATCTTCCAATAAGGAGAAACCGTGGTATCAGTTAGCTGTCAGTGTTAAAGTGAAGTAAATATATCAAACAATCATTTTTGAGTTCTTAGCTCTTAAGAATTCCTAACAGTTCTGTTGATCCTTATCAGAGTATTTTTTCTCTGCTTAAATTAATAGTCAGGAATCATTTATTATGGTGAGAGCGTCACTTTTTTTGCTTAGAAAAAATATTTAGTAGCTTTCTCTTTTAGGAAGCATGCAGACTCATGGGAAGGCAAGATGCATGTGTTTTCTTGGTCGGTTCAAGTAACAATTCGGTAAAATGGGGAACTACAGCACAAATACTTAAACTAGACTAGGCCAGCTGGAGCTACAAAGGAAGTTCCAGGAAAGCCAAGGCTCCACAGTGAGGGCTTGTCATAAAGTAGAAAAAAAATTAAAGGATTTACTTCTTACCACCATGTTCCTACATAGTAGAAGGGGGACTAGAGAGGTTTCTCAGTTTTACAGTGAGGGCACAAATGGCATTCAAGGAGAATCTACACCCAAAACTTCATCACCTCACAAAAAAGACACTACCAAACTTCTGGCACTAATTTTTTGTTGCTTAGGATTGCAACTTACACATTTTGAAGAAACGCAAGCATTTAGTTCTTAACACATTTATCTTATTAAGTTTAGTATCATTTACAAATTCTACACTGTGTCAAATTATGGTTCACTTCTTTCAACATTTGAGGTTGAAAATAAGGTATGTTTTCATGGGAAGTCTTTAGTTTTCCACTGTAGAGGAAAATTTTAAAAAACGTAGATTTTTTTTAACGATATTAATATTTACATGCAAAGAACAGAAAGATTTCAAGGTATAGACATCAATTATCCCAGGAAGAATATAATAAATTTCAAGGAAGTGATGCATAAGCTATTTTTCCTCTTGGAACAAAAAGTAGCTTATTGATGAAAAAGAAAAATGTGCCTGGTAAATAAGTAAAGTATTGAAACATGGAATGTATTGAAGATGAAGGGTCAGGTGTTAGGAAAGACCTGAAGTTATAACAATTTCACAGCAGAGAGGAAAAATTCAAAGTGTTTGGTACATTTTAGTAATGTTCAAATAACATATCTTTAATGCTCTCTGAGTAAGAATGTTAACCCAGAGAGACACACTTGAAACAAATTAGTTATTTGTTGGATAAGTTGTTGAAAATATCCCATTTCTTGACTTTATACTTATGTTTTGTTTTAGCTATCAAAAACATAATACAAAATTTAATGCTCTAATCTAAAGAAAATAAACTAAATTATGATAATTTAGTACTGGCCATTCTCCCAAATGTTTAATGAAGTGGTGTGCTTTATTAAACCATTAGTTTTTAACAGCTTGAATTTTCCTTCACATACTGACTTTATAAATAAAATAGTTTCACTCAGGGGAGTGCCAGAAGGGGCCGGCTCTAAGAGCAACAATCAATAAATGAGACCTCATGAAACTGAAAAGCTTCTGTAAAGCAAAGGACACCATCATCAAAATGAAACAACTGCCTACAGATTGGGAAAGAATCTTCACCAACACTTTATCTGACAGAGGAAAATATCCAGTATATACAAAGAACTAAAGAAGCTGAAAAGCACCAAACCAAGTAATCCAATTAAAAAATGGGAACAGAGCTAAACAGAGAATTGTTGACAGAGGAATATCAAATGGCAGAGAAACACTTAAAGAAATGTTCAACCTCATTAGCCATCAGGGAAATGCAAATCAAAACGACCCTGAGATATCACCTTACACCCATCAGAATGGCCAAGATGAAAAACTCAAGTAACAACACATGCTGGAGAGGTTGTGGAGAAAGGGGAACCCTCCTCCACTGCTGGTGGGAATGTAAACTGGTACAACCACTTTGGAAATCTATCTGGCGCTTTCTCAGACAATTAGGAATAGTGCTTCTTCAAGACCCAGCTATACCACTCCTAGGTATATACCCAAAATTTGCTCAAGTACACAAAAGGGATACTTGCTCAACCATGTTTATAGCAGCTTTATTTGAAATAGCCAGACCCTGGAAACAGCCTAGATGTCCATCAACAGAGGAATGGATACAGAAATTGTGGTATTTTTACACAATGGAATACTACTCAGCAATCAAAAAGGAGGAAAACATGGAATTTGCAGGCAAATGGTGGGATCTAGAAAAAATCATTCTCAGTTAAATATCCCAGAAGGAGAAGGGACAAACACGGTATATACTCGCTTATATAGATCTATAAGATATGATAAACATAATGAAATCTATACACCTAAAAAAGATAATCAAGAGAGTGGACATGGGGTAAGATAATCAATCCTCATACAGAAAGACGGATGGGATGTGCATTGAACGTATGACAAGAGTCTACTGAAGGCATCTGAAAGACCCTAACTAGCAGTGTTTTCAAAGCAGATACAAAGACTTATAACCAAACTTTTGGCAGAGTACAGGGAATCATATGAAAGAAGAGGAGTTAGTTTGATAGGGAAAGGATAGGAGATCCACAAGGACCAAATATATCTGGGCACAGGGTCTTTTCTGAGACTGACATTCAACCAAGGACCATGTATGGATATAACCTAGAACCTCTGCTCAGATGTAGCCCGTGGCAGCTCAGTAACCAATTGGTTTCCCATAGTAAGGGGAACAAGGACTATTTCTAACAGGAACTCAAGGGCAGGCTCTTTGACCTCCCCACACCCCAAGGGAGGAGCAGTCCTGTTAGGCCACAGAGGAGGACTTTGCAGCCAGTCCTGAAGATACCTGATAAAATAGGATCAGATGAATGGGGAGGAGGTCCCCCTATCAGTGGACTTGGAAAGGGGCAGGGTGGAGATGAAGGTGGAAGGGTGGGATTGGGAGAGAATGAGGGAGCGGGATACAGCTGGGATACAGAGTTAATAAAATGTAACTGATAAAAAAAATAAAATTAAAAAAAATAGTTTCACTCATTGATTGAAGCTTTGTCTTCTGCTTCAGGGATTCTAGTCATATATTTTATTCAGTGAAATAACATCAGTTACAATTTTAAATAGGAATATTTTTTTGGTCATCAGCAATTAGTTTTTAGCCTCTCTCTTAACTCCAGGAAATTCATACCCATTGATTTTGTTGTATTCCATGAATATGTATTGAGTCATTTTAATAATTCAGGTAAACATTGCAAAAGACCTATCTTGTTGATAATGTACTCAGATTAAGTTAGAGTAGCATTCCAAAGAGTATCTTCATCCTAGGTCAATATGAACCTCATCTCCTTGTCATTTTATTCTGCTGGATCCTGCTCCTCTGTTGGAGATTATTTCAGCCTACATTGTTAGGGGGCCATAACTACATCCCTCACAAATTGCTATCTCCATCCATCACGACTCCTGCTAACCAAAAGGCTGATTAGGAAGGTAAAGCTTAGCAAAGGAGAAACTATTATATTAAAATGTAATTGGCAAAATAAGTTCTGTAGCAAAATAAATAAGAATTTTTGTTTTTTAGTTTGGAGTAGAGCTAAGTGGTATTGTAATCCACACACGTTCCTTGGCAAGGCACAATAGGCTTTCTAACAAAGGCAGGGCAGTTAAAACTGCCTGGAAATGATTACCAACTTGTGCCTTTCAATGCTATTTCCATGAAATAAGTTATATTTCCCTTACAACTATACAGTTTGTTTGTGTGCATACATAACACCTAGGTCTCCACAGGAAGGTATGTATACTTCTCTTTACAGAAAAATGCTACCAAACTAGTAATAACTTTACAAGCTCTGTATTTCAACTTATTATAAAAGAAGAAAAAATGCTACTCAAACAATTCTAACTTCAAAATGCTTGCTTGAATGTTAGTAGGCATATATACAAAAGCAACTACATGGTATAAAATAGTTCCTAAAAATAGAATATTTCTAAAGGTTTGATTAAAAAAAATCACTGACCAGCTACTATTTAATTTAAGGATATTATAAAATTATCAGATAAAATTCATCTGTGTTTTATTGTCTGTTTATTTAACTCCCAAGAAAACTAGCTGCTGACATGCAATATTAAATACATTAAAGAAAAAGAGACAATAAAACATTTGACTAGAAATGGCTTCAATAACAGAAAGTTGTTTTCTGAATTGTAGCAGAATCATGCAGAAACGTTTTGAAAGGTCTATGTCATCCTAAGGAATACAGACTTAATTTTTCATTATGGAGACTCTACAGGTGGGTGATGAAATACTTGTACCAGACAAAATGTTTCTATGTTTGATAGTGATTAATAAGGTCCCACAGAATACTGAGTGAATATTGGCACATTGTGAAAGAAACACCCACAGTTGCAATTATCCATTTATAGTAATGATTTCGATGAAGACCATATTTAATAAGGCTTTGATGTAGAAATGCATGGTCATTTTATACATATGTATATATATATGAAATAAAATTTGCCATGCCTTTTTCTCAAAAAAGTTCAAAGAATATGCATATAATACGTAACGGGAATAAGATTTTTTCTTAGGCCTTAACCATTATTATTATAAAATATTATCATTAATAATATTATTATACAATCTTCCTCCTTAGAATGTTAAATAAGTTATGAAAATTTAAAACTATTTAAATGGTCAAAGTACCCTGTCAGAACTTTATCTGCTTTTAAAATACAACTACAAATACCATTATAAAAATAGAACATTCTTAAAACAGATTGCTAACAATGTTTGCCCATTAGCTTTAGAAAAATGAAGTCCAAATGATAAAAAGTTTTAAGCAATTAAATTTTATTCAACTATATTATAAATACTATAGAATGCATCATCAGTCTGAAATTCATTATAAATGCATCATCTTCTTCTGTGGCCTGACAAGGC